TAATATAAGTAATGTTCAAAATGTTATTTATTAAAAGCATATACAAAATAAATAGAATTTTATTAATAGAATTTAAATGATTATCTTGTATATAAACAAAAATAAAAATTGTTTATTATTTGAAGCAATGATAAATTTATTAAATTAATTTCCCCTTATTATCATTTTATTTTATTTAATAATATTGCAATCTTGAAGTTTTATTTCCAACAAAATATTATACACTTATGGAGATTGCAAATCAACTTGCTATGTTTGCAATAGGAATGCTCAAATTTACAATTTGGCAAGGAAGGAAAAGATAGTTTAAATGTAATCTGAAGTCATAATATTTGCCTTGTACACAGAAGTCGGATTAAATGTGATGATGTACGAAGGAACCATTCTCCGTATGCTTTCACTCTTTTTTTCTTTCCTTTTTTTTTTTTTTGGTAGGAGAGATTCCACTCAGAAGTACCTTAACAGCGCTAAGAGCACGCTTTCAGAATTCTAGCAGCAACATCAAATTAAGGAAAGTAACCTGATGTGGACGTAATAAGACGGTAGACTGAACCATATTCGAACTCAACTGAAGAGATTCGTTTACTTTTCATATTCACCACGTGCTTCCAAGAAATAAATTTTGTACATCGTAGATATGTACATATATATATATATTTTTCAAACTATTACTATTACTATTTGATTAAAACTCATAACACAATTGTAAAATTGCCACTTACACACCTGTATATAATATAAACTTGTTATTATATTTAATAACAACATGATCACCATAATTTGACAATATTATATAGCAATTTTATCGATTCTTGTTATCGCGAAGAAATATTAAATACAATGGGAATTCACTTCGTGTCTTCTACGCCAAATCACTTTGCCAGGCTGCCCTAAATTCAATCCGAACCTTCTTGGTTTCCGAACCCCTACTGGCCTCGAGCCATAAGGCACAACACGCCTATTCTATCACTGATCGATTCGAAAAAGGGCAATAAGTTTCCGCGGAATTACCTATCTTAGCCAATTTATAACGCATACACACAAAAAGTATATATAAATCATCAAACTGCAAAAATTATCAAAAGAGCATATGAGAAGCAATGTGAATTGCAATATCGACGAATGTAAATCATCGGATGAAAAAGAATTCAATTGTTACAAGGAATAATTTTATTCTGAATTAATAATGATTTAGTGGAGTTCAACATTTGAAATTCACTTATTTATTTCTTTTTTTAAATTAATAATAGTGTATCTTTATCGTAAACACTTTATGGATAACAAAGTTCATATATAATTAATAATAATATTTGTATTTATTTTCATTTTTGACTCTTTTATAATTTTTTATTCCATTGAATACTTATTCATAAATTATATATATAAATAAAGGATAAGGGCAACCATTTTCTGTGCGAACTAAAAATATAAATGAGATTAAATCAAGAGTAAGTCAGGAGAAAGAATAAATTATGCAGAACAAAGTTCTATATTCTCTCGAAAGCGAAATTTTCTGGAAACAAGTATAGAATATTTACGATTACAAGAATTCTGGAATTGTTACCGATAAGAACACGAAAAATATCCAATGAACCGTGCAAAAATGGACAACGACAGAAGAAAGTACGGGCAAAATTTCTGAGATTGGACATTGAATATCTTCTTATTCTCGAAAGGGGGAAGGAACAACAATGCTGTAACGTGAAACAGTACCGTTCCTACCTTTCAAGTCATATCGAATTATCTTATTGAAGTATCTTGCTATCTCTTTCGCTGTTCTTTCTTTGAAATTTTCTATTCTAGACTAGCAAAAAAAAAAAAAATCCGAATGAATTCTCTATTATCACTATACATAAATTTCCTCATTTTTCCACGAACCCTTATAAAGAGACCAAAAAATTCCACTTCTACTGTGAAATATTTGAATTTAATTTCAACGCATTATATCGTGCAAAATTATTCAAAAGAAAAAAAGCAGTACAATCAAAATATATAATTAGGACGACGACGAATCGTTGCATCAACTCTCGTTGACATCTCGAAAATATAAATTCCCGAGATATGGTATTTAATCGAGTCAACGATAAAACAATTCCATTATTTCGATCGTTGCTACTGGACAGAGTTGGAAACGTGGCGAGGAATAAGCACGAAAGCTTTATTTCGCAAGCGCAAAGCTTTATTTCCCGTCTTTCTGGACCTAATACGAAAAGAGCCTCATGAATCGATCGTTGTCGCTCTCGTCATCGGGCAAGCCTTACTCGCAGCAGCCCCTTTAAGACGTTGACGCCTCGTTGAAGGAGAGAAGGGATGGTGGAGAAGGGTGAGAGAGGTCAAAAAGGGATGAAGTAACGACTCGAATAATAGAGAAGGGGGAGGAGGTGAAGAATGGAAGAATATTATTGTTGGATGATTTTTATTTTCCCGATGAAGATTCGTCGTGGCTAGATTGTGAATAAATAATTCCCGTAAATAACTATCCTCTATGTATTTAATTTTACATAATTTTTTTTTCAATTTTCTTAGACACGTTGTGCAATAAATATCCTATAATGTCTTGATAAGAACGTAATTACCTTTTGAGTCATGATACTAATTAATTAAACCAACTTTTTTAATCACAATATTTCATCCGTTCTTTTAAACCATCCTAAAATTCCTTCGATATTTCTTATTTTCATTTCGACGATTAATCACTTTCTTTTAAATTAACGAAACGATATTTAAAAATTATAACGATATAAATCGAAAATCGTGTCAGAGATAGTACGTATAATTACTACAATGAATATAAAGTAGCTATCTAAATGGGTAAATTACGTACTTTGTCAGGGACGTTTCAATTTCTCTCCCTCGAATACGATCGTCACCCTCCTCTATACGACTATCTCTTCCGAAATGATGACATCGACGTTGAATGTCTTCAACCGGCTGGAATGGCTAGGCATGCAGGAATTAATTAACCTTTCGATTTAATTTTATCCATAGATTAATTTCGGCTCGAAAGTTTACATATAGTGGGATATAGTCTGAAATAAATTTTAAACGAAAAATGAAATTTTAATTAAAGCTGATCTTTAAAAATTTAGAGAAATTTGTTTCTACTTAATTCTGGACATTGATTAACTTAAAGTCTGTAAATCGATGAATACTCGCATTGATAATAAATAAACAGATAGTATTATTTATATTTATAAATATAGAATAGAATAGAATGCGTAATACCTGGTATATTTTTAATTTTCTCGATATTCAAAGAAAATTTTATTTTGAATTTTCAATTTATTTCTTCCTTTTTTTTTTTTTTTTTTTGTTGCAGAGAACAATATGTTACTCGATATTACAGTTTGATAGCAGTACACCTTACACATCCTACGTACGGCTCATCGTATATACAGAAAGTTTGTTTATAAAACTTTCAAAACAGCGAAAATGCTGTATCATAAAATTTTATTATACTTTGTTATGCATTATTTTTATTATAAAATAATATACGATATTTCGATTGAATTAATTACATTTATTTTCGTGGTATTATTTTTTCACTTTACTTTATGATCTCAAGAAGGGATACGAGAAAAATATTAGTTAATCATTTCTGGAAAGATAACGTTATTATTATTGTTCCTTTGAAAATGACTTTATGCTGTACCATAAAGCCGTGAGCATAAAGTACTGGGATGTTACAGGGGATTTTAAACAAATAACATAATTTGTCTTTCTGTTGTTACATTTTTTAATACCGGGAAAGCAATATTATTATCCGCTTTCTAGGGAAGTAGATACCATGAAAATGCTGCAAAAGGCTCAATTAAAATACTGAAATCCTTGTTTCGTAAATCCTTGTTTCGTAAATGGATCAAACAAACAGTTGTTTGTTGATTCTTCATCCACTGATGACTCCATAATTTCACGAAATTAATCGATAATTATAATATTATTGATTAATTATAATATTTAATTAATTAATAATATCGAATACTTCATGATATTAAATATTTTAAATATAGATAAATCTTTTTTTTATAAATAGAATATTCGTATTAAAAATAATAATAATTTCTCGAAGAAATAATATTAAATGTACGATAAACAGAATTTTCTATGGATTGCGCGATATATTTTTTTTAACACGTCAAAAACTATCCGTTTTTTCTGTTCTGTTTTAAATAATTAAAAAAGTATAATTACTTTCAACGAACAATTCATTCTCCTTCTTTCAGTACATCGATATATTTTTCAATACGATATTTCCTGTTCCTTCACCTTTCATCACCTACCTAAGTTTCCTAAGTAATAATTCAATTTATAATTAATTTCAAAATAATCAACGAAACGAATCGAACAAGATGAGAATAGAATTAACCCCCTTTCTGTCATTAAAATTCCAACGTCCAACGAGAAACTAGCGCACAACTCGGTCGAAACGAACTCGAATGAGAGCGGGGCAGAAAGAGTATAAAATCCGTAACAAAGAAGCTCGCGTTTCTCAACAAATAGCCCTGTTTCTAAAACCGAAGCATCCCTTGGAATCCGCTGAAACGCATTCTCTAATTCCCTCGAAACAAACAAACCGTCCACGCGTTTACATACGTGTATGTGTGTGTGTGTGTGTGTGTGTATGTGCACACGCACGTTACACCGAAAGTTGGGCAGAGAAGCAACTTGGCCGGAAGCGGATTGGCGTAGCCGACGGTTGGAAAAGATCTCACGGAGAATCCAGTCGAATATTGCGCAACTTGCATCGTATCGCGCACCATCTCTGCGTGTATGCACGGCGAGAAAGAGAACAGAAACAAAGAGACAATCAGGAATGCAAGCTCCGAAAAAATCGGTGCTCTCGCGTAACCCGAAAAACCACGTCGTTCTCCTCTCCTTTCGTGGTAGTAGTTGTCGTGATGATCGTCGTGGTCGTAGTGACTACCCCAACGCATACGCACTCGAGCCTATGCGCGCGCCACTCGTCCCCACTATTGTCTCCATCTATCCCCACTTCGCCCCTCCTCGCAGTTTCAGTTGAAAGACAGAAACGGCGGCTTGATTCGAGGTCAGTTTAGTCCGCGCACGAGCCGAAATAAGCTGAGCTTTCGTCCTGATATCGTCGTAACATCGGGACAAATCGCGACACGAACGAATAACGATGATCTTTCGCTCGTATCGGGTGGTGGCACGGTGAGACGATCAACCGGTAATCGAGATTCGCTCGAGAGTCGGGATAAACCGAACGACGAGTCTAGTGTCGGTAGTAAAACGTATGCTGTAACATCGGTGACAGAAGAGGTTAGGCGTAGAGGAAGGGAAGGAACAACGGACTGTGAGATCGTTGGCTTCGTCGTGTGTCGAAGCGAGTAGAGCTAGTGTTCATTGTGCCAGCCAACGGTTTACTTCGACCAGCGCCATCGTGACAACGCAGCATCGACATGGAGGATACGGAAGCGGAATAGTGTCGTTGAGATGCCGTGAAGTAGTTCCCGAGACATGAAGAGAGCGCGACCGTGGGTAAGTAGATTTCTCTTCATCGTTCTATCCGGATCGTTCGTCGAGTTATCCTGAGTGGATCCTCGCCTCGAGGGACCCTTGGCCAGCCAAAGCTCAGCCACAGAAGCGAATTGTGTGCTCGTCACGATGACTAATTATATTCGCCGCGTTTTGTCGACCGATTACTTCGCCGAACGATCGCGGTCGAGAGTTTCTCGAGTGACCGAGCTGCGCCACCCGTATATTTTATTTCAACTCTAACATTACAGTCTCGTTCTCATCGTGTGTTCTCGTTCTCCTTTATCCGCTTTGATCTCGTCCATCTTTATCCACGGTCAGATACTCGAGAATCCTTTTGCATCACGATCATATTTCAATCCGTAGTGTACTCTATATTCGCACGGATACATACGTTCTTATTTCTTATTTTTTCCAATCAGCCTCCTCTATTCTTCGCTCGTTCGGTATATTCTTACAGCGAACGTAGAGAAAACTAGGTGGATAAGATTCTTCGATCCTACTGGGTAGACTATTTTTAATATCGCCTCTTTTCGTTGCTTTCTCGCGCTCCATCAAGCGTGATCTCATTGAAACAGCGCCTTTAAGACACCCCCAACAGTGAAATGAGAGTAAAGGGGTCGGAAAGAGAGCAGAATTCCGCGAGTCGATCATTCTCTCGCTCTTAATCGCTCCTACCTTTATCAATCTTGGCGCAAAGCGATGGTTCGTCTCGCGTACTTCTAACTTTCTTCCTCGCCGTCGTTATCCTCCTTCTTCCGTTCTGCTCGCGCGAAGTATTTTCGTTCATTGATTTATCGGATTCACCAGTTTCTCGCTTTCTCGCTCGATCGTCGCCGCCTGCCTACTTGCCTTCCCCCGTTCACCCTCCGTGCTAGTTGTGTGTTGGTTCGATTTCGTTGCCGCTTCGACAGGTTAGTGCATCCTTGTCTCTCTTCCTCCTCCTCCTCTTCTCTCTCTTTCTCCTTCTCTCTCTTGCCCCCTCCATCTCTCCGTCCCTCTAACCGCACTAACCTGCTCTCTTTTTCCACTCGCCCGCGTTCCGTTCTTTCCTTTCGTTCTTTCCGTGCACGCGGTTGGCTCAACACGAACGATCGAAAGAAGGAATCGCGATGGGCGAATGTCGTTGGGCGTACCGTTGAGCGCTTATATCGGCGTTTCGTGCACGCAGACTATCGATTCCACGCGACAAGGGGCCGACTGCTACTGCCGCCGCTCACCCCGACTTGTAAACCAGCTATGTGTACGAGCTTGTGGAAAGTCAGCTCGTTCCTGTCGTCGTCGTCGTCGTGACAGCACGCCGCCTCGTCTTTGCGTTGACGCCTGCCTCCTCTGTGCGTGCTCTGGGCATATGTGTGTGTGTGTGCGCGCTCGTGTGGTCAACAACCTTCTTGACTCGCGGGACGATGTCAAACGTATATACGTGCACCAGGCTACGATTATTTAACGGAATGGAGGTCTGAGACGATGGATGGATGGATTGTAACGGCGAAGGGACAGGCTTATGTGCAATTTCTCGTGATTTCGATGATCGATGGATATAGTAGTTTGCAGCGTGATCTCGGGGAACGTGAGAATTCTTGGCGGCTGCGGTCACCGGAATTTCGTAAGTTCCGGAATCTTGCGGTCGCTCCGGCTGGATAGTTCCTGCTAACCTGCAATTTGTGATTTGAGACTATTAATATCGCGACTCGTAGCGATCATTTGCCACCGGCCTCTCATTTCGATGATTGATGATTGACGCAAATTGGATGGAAGGATGCGCGGCACATTTTTATCTTATAATCGATGTTTCATTGTTTAAAGTGGCGGGTAGAAAAGGGTAATTTAAAGGAAGGAGCGTAAATGTTACGTATATTTTTAATAAAATTAGGAGACCTTTGTTCGTTCGTTTTTATTAACGGTTTTAATTAAGTTAATGGAGTTTAGGAATTTTCGTTGAGACGAAATTAAATATTTCAAAATGGAATAAAATTAAACGAGGAAACTTAACTGTAACGTGATTTTTCTTATTTATATTGCGAATTTTATTTCTTAATTGTTCGTTAATAGAAATTCTGAATCAAAATATATAGATATTTCTAGTTGATGGGTTTCCATTTTGTGAATTGGTGATTATACCGGCCGAACGAAGGAAATTCGCAATATATTTCATGAAAGATTCATCAAGTTGCGTATTAGATTTAGCTTCCATTTAGAATGCTAGCCAAACAATTTTCGAATAAATATCGAGTAATTCGTTAGCGGATAGTGATGCGTAGCGAATTACTTTTCTCTCCTTTACTCTATCTAATTATTCTAATTGCAACGCGAATTTTTGGATATAAGAAACGTTTGCACACACACACACACACACACACATACACACACGCATCGACGAATAAATCAAATTTATCATCGATATAACAATACCGCGTTACGAAAACGATTTACATTAACGAAGGTGATTTTCCTGATTCATATTCGATTCGCGTATTAGCGGCGACACGAATTGTTGTTAATCAAACGGCTAATTGAACGGGTTCGATCCGTAAATAATAAAATTCACGAATCACGCAGGAAATTAGAAAATTATTTCTATTCTATCAAAGCGTATTTTCCTTTTCAATAATTCCCTCTCGCCTCGCTCGCCGTTTATTTCCACCATCCCAGAAAATTTTTCAGCTTGGAAAAAACCCGGCCGTCCTTTGTCCGCGCGCTTTGAATTTTTCATCCCGCGGGGATAACATTTTCACGGGGGAAATTTTTCGCGCGGCCCGCCCCACCGAAATTAACAGAGACCGCGTAATTATTCAGCGGTCAAACGTGGCCGCGTCAATCTTCCCGGTATTAAACGTTCCTCCCTCCTCCTCTTTTTGTTTAATTTATTCGCGCGCAATGTAACCGCCGCGCCCTTGGCGCTTTGCCACGCGAATTTCCCAGGTAATACGTTATCGCTTAATGCCATTTATCGCGCTAATTACACGCGCGCGATACGCTTCGATCCCTCGCAGACTTTTCACGCTGAGATTTTAAAATAAATATTTCTTATATATTCGAATATAACGAGTGAAATAAGGTGAGATAATACAGCTTGGTTGGTGTGTTTTTGTGCTTCGTGTTTGTAATTAATAAGAGGTAATTAATAAGAATGAGATGAGACTCGAAAAATGTGATCGAATGGTATTAGTTTGTAGTCAATCATTGTTTTAATTATTTATTTATTCGCGTATTACAAAATTGTAGGAGGTGGAAGTTATATCAAAGTGTAAGGTTTTTGTTATATTGTCGTTAGTTTGTCGTCCTTTTTGATTTTATTCTGTTACTTTGTAAGGTATAAAATATTGTTACAAAGTAAGAGAAATTGTGATAATTACACGAGTTAGTTCAAAGTTAGTTATAATGATTAGGTGAGTTATTAATTTTTAGTTATTGTTTCTCGAGAATTCGAAGTTAAATAGGTTTTAAATCTTAATCCTTTTATATTTCCAATGAAAATTGCCTCGTATAACGATTATAAGATTTCGCAGAATATATCTTATGTTTCGTTTGAAAAGGAATCTTGATTAATTAAAAGTAATTAGCTATCTTATTAATTAATTAAAGCATTATTAAGATTTGTGTTCGCTTGGATCCGAATCGAGAAAGAGATCTAATGTAAACGAAAGAAAAGATAAGAAAGTATTAAAACAATTGACTTTTTTTCTAATAAATTAAGTATTTCTATCGACCATTTTGAAAGAAACGATAACTAATTATTTATTTTCATAATTCAAACAAATTTCGAGTATCTTTTCAACTAGTTTCTATAAATTGTATCTACGATCGTACTCCACAACGGTGTACATAGAAATCCAACGATCTTTCGAAATAATATCTAATTTAATCAATTAATTTCCCAACAATTCAACATTTAATTATCCCATAAAAATTTTAAACTTTTGATTAAGTTTTTGTCATAAAAAAAAAAAAGACACGTAAATTCGCTAAAGAATTCGAATCGAATCGTTTCGTCATTTCATATCGCGAAAACAAAGTATTACAAATTCCATTATCGCGTCAGTCGTGTTCACTATTTCCGCGTTAGCACAATAGAACTCGTTATCGCGAATTTCTTTTACTTCTAATGGATACGATTCAGCTATGACATAGAAGTCCACCATCATCGTCAATCTCTTCTTCGCTTCTCCGCCATTTTCCATTTTCTCCATCACCATCTCGTAACCACCTTTTCCCGCCATTGCTGATCATCACCATTTTTCGATCGAATCGAATGCAATCGAACAATTGTAAGCTTCTCTCCGTCCAGACGGAAAAGATCAAACCATCGATCTTTAATATCCAAGAAAATTCGAATATCCTTTTGCGCAGATCCTTTCTGCGAAAAATCTTCGAATTCTTTTACGTTTCCGCATATTCGATCACGTCTTTCGCTTTGCATAAGATGCCACTGAGATACTATGGGCAACTATATTCTGCATAAGATGCCATTGAAATATTATGGGCAACTGTATTCTGTATAAGATGCCATTCAGGTACTATGGGCTACTATACTTGCTCTGCATAAGATGCCATTGAAGTATTATGGGCGACTATAAGATGTCATTGAAATTTTGAGCGACTATAGTCGCTCTGCATAAGATGCCATTGAAGTATTATGGGCGACTATAGTCTATATAAGATGTCACTGAAATACTATGGGCAACTATACTTGCTCTGCATAAGATGCCATTGGAGTACTATGAGCGACTATAGTTGCTCTGCATAAGATGATACCATTGAAGTACTACAGACGACTATAGTCTGCATGATATGTCACTGAAATATTGGACGACTATACTTGTTCTGCATAAGATGCCATTGAGGTACTATTGGTGACTATAATCGCTCTGCACAAGATGCCACTGAAGTACAACTGACGACTATAGTCTGCATAAAATGTCATTGAAATACTATGGGCGATTATAGCGAATATAGTCGCTTTGCATAAGATGTCACTGACATACTACGGGCAATTATAGTCG